CAACACGATAAGACCCGATGACGAGTAACTCAACTACACTACAACTCCCTACCATGAGTTTCAACACCATGTCAAAGTGAAGGTCCCGCGCCTTGCGCCCCGGCTTCTTCTTCCCCTTGAGCACCACCTCCTCTTGCGGGTCCGATTCGCGCAATACTTCATCCAGTTCCTCCCACACGAGCTGCTTCTCTTGAGCCTGCGCCGCAGCTTCATAGAACTCCTTCAGCTTCTTTTTCTCCCTCCGGTCCATCGCTCCCCCATCTGTTGCTTCGCCAGCGAAGTAAATTGGCGCCGACGCTTCCGGTGCCACTCCCTGGCGCCTCACAGTCTCACATGTGATAGGTCCCACCCACGGGTAGACCTTCCAACAGCTCTTCAAGCGTACCCCCACCAGGTCCATGCTTTCAAGCCCCTGGTAGCGCGAGTCCATCGGGGAAGACTCAGGACTGGAAAGCAGGGGGAAAGCGAACCTCGTGGATTGCCTGTGGTTCTTTCCCCCGCGCAGCCCGCCTTCTTCTTGCCGGCGCCTCTTCTTCCTCAGATTCCTTCTCCCCCTCGGTCTCAGGTGCCCGGCGGCGGCCGCTCTCCCTTGAGCTTGAACGGCGGCGATGGACCTCCCTTGCGCAGACGGTCCTCTTTGGCTCGTGCTGCGAGGCGCTCAGCCTTGCGAGACGCGCGCACGGCAGGGGTGGTGTCTCGCTGCGCCTGCGTGCTAGGCGCAGCTGCGGCCCCTCGTCTGCCATTGCCGAGCGCCAAAGCTCGGAGATGCGCCGGCGCTCCCTGTACGGTCGCTGACCACGCCATAAAGGGGCTTCACTGATCGTCCTCCTCTTGAGAGTCCTCCTCAGCGTCCTGCGCCACGTACGCATTCTTGGGTCTTTTCCCGGGGGGTTGCCGACAGGCTTGGGCGCGCTGTCACCCCTCTTCTTCCACTTGTCTGGACGCTTTTCCAGGGGAACTTCTCCAAGCACTCGTGGCCCGTGTGAAAGTCCTTCCGCTCCCCGGTCCCTGCCCTCCTTGGGTTTTTCTCCGCAGTCAACTCGCCGGTGGCCTGACTTTCCGCAGTTCCAGCACTCCCCCAAAAACTCCCCTCCCGAGCTTGAAGCTGCCGGCGGGCCCCGCAGCAAGAGCCTGCTTCTCCTACTTCTCGCGCCGGCGCTCCCCCTTGCTCTGGCTCTTGAGTTTGGCTTCACCGCTGTCGTTTGACTCCCGCTTCCTCTCGTTCCCCCACGATGAGGACGCCCCAAAAAGTGACATCCCTCCCAGTTTACCGGCTAAGTCTCCCTTGACCATCTTTACCAGCGCGCGTCTCGGCTCCCTGGTGTAGAGGGCTTCTTCGATTTGCCGGCACCTCGCCTCTAGCTTCGTTCGAGTTAGCTCTTCCTCCTCCCAAGTGAGGGTTTGACGCTCAACCGCCCTTCTCAGCTCCGGCTTCATGGCAAACACCGCCTTCTCGACGATTTCCCGACCATTCTCGGTCTTCTTGTTTAGACGGATGAGTTCTCTAAGGCGATGGAACATCCCTTGCGTGGTACCGTCTTGTCATAGAAGAACAGCAGGTAGTCCCACAACGCGGCGGCAGTCTGCTCCGAGTAGATCTTCTGCAAGAAAGTCCAGGCCTCAATCCATTAAAGTCTTGTCCTCTTTAGGCATGATTTTGAGACCTGGGTGGAACGCATCGGGGTCTTGGCCGGCATCCAACTTGGTATGCCAGGCCTTGACCGGCTTCTGCTCATTCTCCTTGTTCTTCTCGTCAATCTTGACGCGCTCCGTGATGTTCTTTTCCAGACGTTCTCGGAAATGATCATGCAGGGCGTGATAGGCATCACTCACGCAGGATTCTAGCAGGACCGCAAACGACTCCATAGAAGACAGAATGGGCGCTGACGCACTTCTTCCGGTCATGAGGAGACCCAAGCGGTTCTGGACCTTGATCTTCAACTTTGAATCGAGCATGGTCTCATTGCGCCGGTTGAACTTGCCAAACTGGGTCTTAGCCCCTGCCGACGCACCAAACTCCTCCATTGTCTAGAGATTTTCGCCGTCAACGAAGAAAGAAGAAGCAATCCCAAGCTGATCTAAGGGCCTAAAGAGGCACTTTGCCGTATATTTTAGAAGCCTTTGATTCTTGCTCACCAGGGCTCAACCTATCCGAAGGCTCAGCTCCGAATCTGTCCCTTGCAAGGTATGGCGGCGTCGAAGAGGACGCGTCCGTTGTTTCTCCCTTCTTTCTGCGACAGTTCCTTGTCTGTGGAGGCATGCAAGAAGGGGATCACAAGCGGCAATGCTCACCAATAAATGCTGTCTATCCGCCGGCGTTAACTACGCTACCTGCCCCGCTACCGGCGCAGCAACTTTAATGAAGAAAGCGGGAAACCCTCGCAATCCACTAGCAAGCAACCCTTATCACCACTGCCGACGCACCGTGCAGCGTCAGGCAACCTTTTCCAACACTACCGACACACACCGCAGCGCAAGGAACTCCCTGAAATTATAGCACTTTGGCCCTTTGCCCCGGCTCTCATCCTTGACGTGGACTTTCTCGTACCCTTTTCGCCCGGCAACATAGGCCACTGCGAAGTCCTGTTGAAATACGGGCATTTAGGGACCGAATCTCTAGGGTGATTCTAGGGTTTTAGGATCACGACGTCGACGGTAATTCGACGGTAACTAGAAGTTACGGTTACACGGTTAAATGCGCGCGGGTTACAGCGTTACACCCGAATGACTTGGCGATAACCGTCGATATTGTGTAGGTTCGATAATGGCCGTAGATGTACGGTATAGAGTGAGATTTTCGGACTTACTAGGTGACGGTCCACTGAGCCCACTAGGCTAGAGTGTAGACCTACAGTTAGGCCGTGACTCGGAACACTCCATATACTTTGTGTGAAGTTGATTGATTGAATATCACTTCCAACAAAGCTGTGTTTCAACAACGTCGAACCCCTGTCGACGTCACCCAAGAGATTGCCCACACTAAATGCCCGAATCCCGACAATTCCACCTCGAAATTTCCAACGAGATTCCGTTGCACCATCTTATTCGCCGAGTTCTCATGCTCGTCATGTCTCATCCGGCCACAGCTCTGCCGTCTCTGGCTTCCTCACAAGGAAACATTTGTCCGTCTCCGCCTGGTCTACCACATAGATGCCCCCCTTTCCGAGCTTTAAGGACTACCTCCCTGCCGAATCGCAAGCTCACAGCTATTCTCCTTGAACGAAACTGTCGCGACCTTGGCTGCCTTGCTCACCGAGATCAGAGTTGCTGGCACCGTCTGGACATACATCACGTTTTGTACAATCTGACCAAACTTTCGCTAGTTGGTGTAACAGCGCAGCTCAACTGAGCCGCTCCTCTCTGCCCAGAAGGTTGTTTGTCCCCGAACATGAACACTCAGACATTTCCGCCAAATAGGCTCTTGTCCGCGGTTGAGTGTTGGAAGCTACCAAATCAAGAGCCACTCGTTGGCAGCTACCCCCTCAATCATACGAAAAACCACCCCTTTGAAAGGTTTCATTCCCCTCTTTTGCTTCAAATTCAGGTCCCACCTATTGTGCTTGCTGCACTTTCGGGCAATATGATCCTACTCTCCGCAACTATTACACTTAGGCCCCTTGCTCCGGCTCTCATATTTGCCGTGGCCTATCTCCTTGTTCCCTTTTTACTGAGCTGCATAAGCCATAGCGGAGTTTGAAATACTGTTGAAATTCACCCAGTCATGCACAGCATTTGCACATCAATCACCGCCACGGGCTTCTCATGCCGGTTCCACACGCCAACACATTCCGAGTTGCACACGAGTTGAACGCCCTTCAACAAGCGCCTTCTCCTCCAACAACTCCCCTCAGAATGATACATCAATCACAATGTCCTTCTTCGCTCTTAAACAAGGCTGCCTGTATTTGAGTGTACAGTCTCCAGTCTCCAGTCTGAATCTTGTTGACAGGCTAGTCAACAAAATTACAGTCCAGGTCGAGCTCTAGGCTGCACTCTACCACACTCGGATCTAACTAACTACTGTGCCTACTCAATCTAAACCGTCGATAAGCAATACGGCTGACTACTTCGCGTCACCGGATTTCAGTAGATACCACCGGATTTCAGTAGGTATCCTCTGCTCATGCACCAAGAGCTTCGGCAAATGCGCCTCCACAGAGCTCAAAGCGCCCTCCAAAGCCTCTTGGTTTTGTTTTCAGGGTGCCTAACAAGCTCGGCAGTCCTGCGCGAGCACGCTCCAAGCCAGCTCTTCCGGCTTCAAATCGAAAGCAGTAGCTGTCAAGTCCCTAAACAGATCCTTTGGATGAGCCACGTACACGGTGGCACCTAACTTCATCTAGAGGGGATGCAACTCTTGCCGGAGATGCATTTTCCTTGCATTGAACTTGGTCCATGTAGGTCGTCTCAAGGCCCGGAGATCCCAACTTCCAAGCCTCCTTTACAGTCTTGCACGCCTCATTTGACCCAAATGGTGGATGTCAACATTCAGCCCAATGATCGACAACGCCCTCATTGACGGTGAGTGGCGTGCGCCGGCGAGATCCTTCAGTCCACTTCACAGATCCTTTGATGTCACGCTACCGAATCCTTTTTGGCAATCTCGTAAATCCTTTGATATCAACAAAAACTTGATCTTGCGACTCCAATTGATGTGGTTATCTACACCAAGCTTGTCTTTGTGGACTTTGAATCCGTCAGCCATCTTAGGATCTACTTTCCCTTTCTCTCGTTCTCGGAACCAAAGGTGGATTTATTCTCCATAGGCTCTCTCTGCCACTTGATCACCCTTGATAAGCAGAAGGCCCCCACCAATAACTTCATTGACAAGAAAGAACCATAGGCTTAATTGCATCGCGAATTGCCGCTTCTCCTTAAGACGAAACATGATTTTCATCCTTGCGCCGACTTCACGTGTTGCTTACTCAATTGCTTCAAGTGAACGAAACCGCTTTCTTAGCAACGTCGTCTCGACCTAGAAGGCACCCTTCGGTGATTCATCCTTTGCAGCGCCGTGAGCCACTAACCTGTTGCACCACAGCATCAAAGGGATAATGTTGAAACAATCAGGTTTACACACTATATATATAGATTGTTTCAAGTGGCCATCTTCTTGACTCTATACTTGTCTACTAAGCTTGGTGGACCCGGCGTCACATAAGTCCGAAAATTTCTCTGCTACACCTTACACTGAGTCGGCGGCTATTCAGTCCCACTCACTGAGTACGTGACATGGCATGAATTCCGGCATCTTGATTCTGCCGCGTGTACAACTTGAAAGACCACGTGTCGCTCGTGGACCGGCGTCCAAGGCGCTCATATTAGAATTTGATTGCAACGTCATATACTCGTCACTTTCTGGATTCATCTAGAAATTGGACGGCCACAGTGAATATCAAATCGAACGGCCGGCTGGAACCACGCACCCACTGTGTATAATATGGTCTTATAAAGACGCTCTTATTAGCTTTTTCATCTCTTTTTCCTCTTTTTTCTTTCTTTTTTCCCCTTGGAAAGGTTTAACTGTGAGTGGGACCCGGCCCGTGATTAAGAATCCACTTGCTATAGACGGTTATCGTAATACATACTTGGGATACGTATTACTGTCACATCCTTGACTCCACATTACCGTTGTAACGATTACGATTGGTTAAGCCTAACCTCGTTCTCGACAGGATTTCGTTGACCTGCGGGTTAGCGAAACGGCGGTGGTTACGTCTTAACGACGCACTGCGTGGCTGTCTGCAAGACGCCGTAATATCCCGGATGGATCGGCTTCAGTGAGCCGATGTCACCGTTCAGGATAAGTTGTGTTCGGCTTCGCCGTTCGATGCAGCCAAGCTTATCTGTGCTCTGCACAGCTTGCGTGGCTGG